CGGCAAACGTTGTTTTGCCAAAAAGTTATTTGAAATATTAAGTGAACCCGGCGAACTTAACGCCTTCAGATAAACTTTCGAGTGATAATAAAACATATAGTTCAAGAATTTATTTATTGATCTATTTGAATTGAAACAAAAATCAGTTGAGTGCTATATGATAAACAATGTTTTCCGTTTTGTTTTCTGGCGTGAAAACAAACAACGAAGACGGTTTGCCAACACGCGAACTGGCAACTGACCGTGCGAAAAACATGAAAATTCTAAATTGATCCCACAGACTTCCAACGATTGGCCTTGCGATTTATTGATTGTCATCGCAAAAGCCAATCGAACGGGAAACTGAATCCGCTTGAATTGAAATGGAAGATCTGTAGGACTGATCGGAATTCGTGGGATAAGGACTTCCTCTCCTTTGAATTTGTCCTTGATGATCGTTGCTTGTATTACATTGTTCATCAGTTTCTTGACGGATAATCGCGTACCATTGCACAATTTTGGATGATGTAGATTCCGCAACATAATAATCGATCCCACCTTTAGCTGTAAATTATGCAGCGGAGTTCCTGGCACATCAAGCGAGTTCAAACATTCCAATGTATAGTTGTCGCTTCATTTTCGTCGGTCACGCTGTCAAAGGATTTGTACGAACGTAATTCTCCAGCGATTTTACTTTGAATAATACAATTCAAGCTATCGACGTCCCTATTCTTCGCTGCGAGTATTGCCCGTTCACATTTATCCAATCAAGATTTTTAAATGCTTGGGAACACTTTTGTAATGAGTTCCTCCTTCGACGAAGTGCACTCACAAAAATTTTCCACGCAAAATTCTGCACGTTCCTCTTGCGTTTGATTATAACGGACATTCTCACAAATTATTGCATTACGTGTACGTCGTCAAATGTTTGATCTTCTAATAGGAGGAATCAGTCAAGCAAAATATTCTCTTCAAAAAATAACAAAGTTGTTTTTGATTAATCCTATTGAAAATAAAATACTCAATATTTAATAATACTCGTGCATGTTATAAGAAATGTAGGTTTTAAATAAGTGATTGCTAATTAGTAAAATAAAATAAAATTGTACTCACGCAGTTTTTGTGGACAATGGAAAATGAAGTAATAATAAATTAATAATAATAACAAAATAAATGAACACAAAACTATAAAATAACTATAGAAACCATAGATTGTACTGATTGTACATCGAGCTGATAAATTATAATAAATAATACATCAGTATTAATTGCCATAGAGATGTCTAAGTCTACCATAGAGTAAATAAAGACAACGGTATCGAGTTCAAATCCCAGACATCAATAAATAGTTTTTGCAGTTTTTCTAATTATTCGGTTGACTTTTTAAAAATTTTCTTTCGTAAAAACTTTCTCCTGTTAATAACTAACATCTTAAAAAAAATTTGAGACAAATCGGCCCAGCCGTTCTCAATTGATGAATTGTTATACATTTTTGGCTCCATTTATATATATATAGATAACATAATAGGTAATAATAGTAGTGTACATAATAATGGCAACCAGCAAGTGTACTTTATAATTTTAATTATTTAAAATGTATTACTGAAAATTGTGTTAAGAGTATAAATAATCTATACAGACTTTGTAGTCTATACCTTAAAGTAGTAATACAGATCAATATAAAATATTTTTATAATTATTTTCTTACGTAAAATAATAATAATATTGTAATAAAAATGTAATATTATTTTCCAATGACTTTATTTTGCCACTTAAGTGCATGTTGCGGAGTGTTGAAATACTTAACAAAGTGTTCTCTAACTTCTTTGGCATTTGTTGACGAATTCCCAGTTCCCCTTTCATTAGTTAAATCGTCCATTGTACAACTAAGGATATCATCATTGTTGATGCCATCTCTACGTCGAACAAAATTGTGTATTTTCCGGCCCACGAGAGATCAGTACCGCTATTCGGCCAAAACTCGTCTGATTTCGCGCATCTCCCACTCAATCGCTCCCACTTAACCAACCACAGCGTTTCGGAGACTGTCGGTGTCGGTCGGCAATTGCGACTATTGCGGAATTCCGGCACAAAGTGGGGAAAATTGGGCTCTGCACCGTCGCTGCCGGTCATTCTGCAAGCGCGTGATGGTACTGATCTCTCGTGGGCACACAACATGATTTTGTCACAGAGACAGCGAAATTGGGTTCAACTAGTATACTTGTTTGAAAAACTCTCCATTTTTTCGACATTATTCCAAAAGAACATTCTATATGTTGTCGAGCTCTTGATAACCTGTAATTAAAAATCCTCCTGTCGTCATTTAACGACCTGCCCGGGAAAGGTCGTAATAAATTTGGATGTAAAGCAAATGCTTCGTTGGCAACAAAAATATAAGGCAAAGGAACACCGTTATCATCACCAGGTAAACAAATATTTGGTGGCAAATTTAAATTATAACCAACCGTATAATTTTTTACCAAACACTGATTGTTTGAAGACATTACAGTCACTTTCCTTACCGTAGGAATCCACATCTATAATTCTAAAACAGTCATTAGAATCACAAATTGCCATCAGGATGAGTGAAAAATATTGTTTGTAATTATAATAGAATGTCCCACTGTTTTTGGGACATTCCAAACGTATATGTTTGCCGTCTACGGCGCCAGCGCAATTTGGAAATTGAGCTTTCTCGAAATACCCGGCTGCAATGTCTAACCAATCGTCAGTAGTTGGTTCTGCCATTTCAATTGGTTGTAATATGTTCCAAATAACCTCACAAGTTTTACGTACGATAGTTGATATTGTGGATATTCCAATTAAAAATTCGAAATGTAAATCTGAAAAGTTTAAACCAGTTGCCAAATATCTATATAAACACATATTTGGTATTAATTAAAATAATAATCTTTAAAAATAAGTGTTTGCCAATCCAAAGTTTGTTATCTTTATTTTATTTAAAAATGTATAATTTAATTGTATTAATGTTAAATGTTAATTATTAATTAATAGAACTACCTACATAGATACTTTGTAGTTTGTTTAAACATCTAACTTCATTTCTTTAGATTTTTTGGTGACACTATGAACTACTAACTACCTACATATCTGAAACCTTGATCGGCTTGATCTAAAATGTCAATCCTTAGCTATAAAAGTTTATAATATATAATAATTTTATAAAATTTTAACTACTAAATAATTTGTAAATTTATAATTTAACAAATGTTGACCAAATTCAAATATTTAAATGATTCTAAAAAAATCATACCTAAGTATTTAAAAAAAAAATATCATCTGCTATTGTAAAAATAATGATATTGATAGAAAAAAACTAAAAATTAAAATTTCAAATTATCCGCAAACAGCTCAAAACGAGTAACCCTTTTGTTAAGTTTAATTTTTTTTTAATATTTCTAAAATATTTGTTAAATCTCTTTAGAGGCATATTGAATCAGTTTATTGGTTTTTATAATACTAATAAATTAAATGTTTAAATTGCACATACCTTAACGTCACGGTCAATCTTTCTTCCGGTGAAATTATTAGTATGTTGTTTTAGAAGGTATTTACTAATATATGATACCTAAGATCATTAAATAAATACTATACGGGCAGATAGTGATGACGTCACATTTCTTATCAGTATTAAATATTTAAAATTAAAACAATAACAAGAGGTAAGATCATAAAACATATATTAATTATTATTTAACCCTACACAAGATTAAAATATAATGAATTATTAGTACTACTTACCAGTGCGGCACCACAGGGCACATTTTGGAGCTGCGGTACACCCTTCGTTTCACTATGAAAATCAATTTTAGTAGACAAATTGAGTAGTATTAAATAGTTTTTAATAGTTAGGGCTGGTGTACAATGCACATCAGTTAGTTAATACTAAATAGTATTAATAGTAAATACCGCTCTTGCATGAATTTAATTAAAAACTCAGATACTCATAACTTAAATTTTTCTTATTGCTTATTTTGCTTTTTCTGTTTTATTTGATTATAGCTAAAATGGTCATGTGCTGGGCTTATGGTTGCAATCACTTTAACGAATGGAATGGCTGTACATTTTTTAGAATTCCTAAAAATGCCAAATTTAAAAAAAGCTGGTTAAAGTTGCTCAGGTTTGTTGTAAAAAAACTGCTATGCTTTGCTCTTTCATGAAATTAAATTATAGTATTTTGATTTTATGATCTATTATTGAATAATAGTATCTTTTTTTTATTATTTAGAAGAACTGATGATCCAAAAACAGGTAATAGGATTTGTAGTTGCCATTTTGAGGATAATAAAAACAGAATGGACCAACCATCTTGCCTCATCTCTCTAAACAATTTGCCTCACATCAATTGACCCCAGAAAAAAAATATCTAAAGAAATAATTCCGATAGAACCCATACCACAAAAACCAAATGATTCAAACTCAATGGATTATGATGTAGTTCGAAATGAAGATGTTCTAGATCTGTCAATAAAATGTAAATCAGTTATTAGGTAAATATTAAAATATTCCAAAATAGATACTGTTTAAACTGATATTATAATATATATTTTGTGTTTAATAGTTCACATACGGTTGATATTCCACACATAACATCAATTATTCAAGAATCTGAGAACTATTGTCTATTACCTCAAAAAATAAAATGAAGCTATGCAATTAAAGTTAAGCCATTTAAGTGTTTCATTTAATTATGAAAGCTTGAGTCAAAACAACGAACTGTTACAATCTTATACTGGCTTACCTAATAATGAAATATTTATGTGTTTGTATAATTTATTGAAAAATGCAAAAATTCACTACCATTTCCAGTGGAAAGTTGAGAGTGTAAATAGACAAGATCAACTACTTATAACTCTTATGAAATTAAGACACAATTTTCCACATTTTGACTTGGCCTAAGTATATTTTTATTTTGTGAAATTTGTAAATAATTTTTGTGTTTAATGTTTTAATATTATAAATAGGTAATCCATAAGTGTATATACTAATGATATGGATATTTAATTTTCAATAAGAAAAGGTATGAAATTCTTAATAAAGAATTGTTCTAATACTTTAAGATTAATAAACCAGTCTGGATCCTTTTCAACTTCGGTAATCATTGTTTGATTAGGTGTCCAAACGACAAGGTAACACAACTTGCGGTTAGTTAAATATAGTTGTCCTTGAATCTGATGCCAATAAAAGTGCTTTTTGTTAATATGAACAGTATCATTTTGTATATATATATTATATAACTGTGATCATTTTTAAGTTCAATATCTAATGCTTTATTTCTGAACTTCCATGGACATTTTATCTCAACAATATAATCAGAATTTATTAAGCCATCTGGAGATGCTCCTAAAAATCCATTGTTCGCTAACCATAATCCAGTTGGTATAACATTTACATTTTGTTCTTTTCCTAAAACTCTAATACCTGATTTTTCATTTGTTAAACCCAACTGATTAGCATGTACCACACTTAAATTAGTATCATTCGTTAGTGATTTAAAAAAAGATTTTGAAAATTTATATTTTTGGCAAGCAGATAATATATTACCAAAATGACTTGCATTTAATCTATTTTTATGATAATAATGCCACAGTTCAGTTTTATTTTGACCGGTAGTTATTTCAGAAATGTTTAAAACAATATCACCAGTAATAAAACAGCTATCATTTATATCCTTCTTACTGCTTCAAAATGTCCAGTCTTTACTAATTGTTTACAATCATATTTATTTACTACACTTTCTATAGAACTTAATTGAAATTTTAAAGATTCATTTGATTCTATATGTTCTGGTTCAGGTCTTAATAACCAAGAAAAACTAACTGGGGTAGATAAATTATCCAAAGTATGTTTGAAAGTAGAAAAATCTTCATCTGAAATAATAGTAGAAGGGCTAACAAAACCACCATAAATCTGACTGATAGTTTTTACTTCATCACATGTGTTACTTTTTCTCAAATTCCATGAACAAGATTTGTCTGTAGAGCTAAGATTATAGTAAGTATAAAGTGCTAGGGCAGCTATATGGCGGCAAACTACTTGTCCACTAGGGCATGTACATTCTGCCTCAACTATACAACTATCATTTAACATCATATTTACCTTATATTTATCATTCTTCATACTTAGTTTGATTTCTCCTACAATTATGTTTAAATCTAGATCGGCTTGAAACTTCAAAACATGACCATCTTTATAAGCAATTTCACCTCTTTTTAATTGTTTTATATTGTCTTTAAAATACTCCGAAATAGACGAAAAAATTAAAATGTAATTTCTAGCCATTATATAGTTAAATAGGTAGTTATACAATTAAATGAATAGTAATGTTTAAAAAATGAATATTTATTTAAACAAACTTCAAATTTAAACAGGAGCCACCTATTAAGCCTGCCTAAACGTATATTATAAAATATTTCGATAGGAATGTTTGGATCCAATTGAAAAAAAATGGTAAGCGTTGATAGCAAATGTTACGTCATGCTATCTGCCAGTATTGTCAGTAGGTAAATATATATTGTAGACTGATGTTCCAGTTTTACATAATTTTATTAACATTTGTAATCGAATAAGCTAATAACATACCAATGAATCGAATGACGAAATTGACATCCGATAATATTTAAATAATTCGTCTGGGTGTGATCGCAAAGTTAAGAAATTAACTTGAAACTGACCTTCGTTGATTTTTTTCATATTCAACGGATGCACCCAGTATTTTCTCTTCCTGGTCATTTTTTGTTTTAACTGTTGTCTTTTATATAAACTATACACTACACAAATCGCTTCAACATCATCTAAGGTCTCCATTTAGTAAGACGATGGAAAATAACTTATTTAAAGACGTGAAGTACACAGTATATTTATCTAAACCACGTTTTCCATAAGAAATAATGAACTAGATTAATGTTATAAGTTCAAATGACAATAAACACATTTCGAATTTGGCGGGTATTCGAAGGCGTTTTAATCGCACGCGATCTTCTTGTGTGAATGCATACACGGGAGCGGTTTTTAACCGCAATTTTTAACCGCAACCGCCCACGATTAATTGCTCCGTGTGAAACCAGCGTATATCCGATTTCGGCCTATTATGCATAATAGACGTTCAAGTTTCAGTTGTGGGTTACATTTTTGTCAAGATTAACGTCTGTGACCATATTTACTTGTTAGAAACAAGTCCTATTTTAAATTACTTACTGTTAGATGAAGAGAAAAAAAAAGTTTGGGTAGGTAAATACAATTTATGAGGATAGGGAAAGATATGGTGAATTCCATACTCTTTTCCCTAAACTCCTGGAACAACCATTAAAACCATCAAAACTTTTTTCTACATTCTTGAGAAAATTCGTTTCCAGCCTCAAAAATATTTAAACTTCCGAATTTGTACTACACCTGAAGAAAGACTAGTAGTTACATTAAGGTAAGTAGGATATCATGTATTGTAAATGTTTATGTAGTGAGTAATATTTTATATAATAATTATGTAAATTATTATATTTTGATTTAATCTATTGGTGTCACATATTTCTTGCTCTTCTAAAAATACTTGTTGCAACTTATGTCTAACTATCAATTTTCTATTCTCTGGAAGTTCTTGCAAATAAGGTATCAAACTTCCCATAAAATGGAAACTTTCGTCTTCGATTATGTTTTTTTTTTTGTAAATTTTCATTCACACTTTAACTACTTCAACTTTTCATTTTAAATTCTGAGCGCAGCGATGAATGTATTGATTTTGCAATGATGTTTGTTTTTTATTTTTTTTTTGTGTCCCCACCTTTTAGGACAGTGAAAATGCTTGGATTTTCTTCAACAGTATCTTTTCTGACACGAAAGTGTTGAAATATAGTTGGTACTTTGGAATGGTCAAAAGTAAATATTTACATGTAGTTTTCAAAAGCTCCAAGAAAAACAAATAAAAAATTAAGGAAAAAACAGGAATTTTTACACAAAATCAATTTTGATTTTTGGTGTAAGTCTAAAAGGAATGACTGTAGATACATGCCAATTTGACTAAATATTAATATTAGCAATTTTTTACACCATAACATTTTAAAATATTTTAACTTATTTTGAGCTATTTACGGACATTTTCAGTTTCAAATGATTTCAGTTTTTTATTCTATAAATATCAATAAATTGGGGCCTTTATACAGTGACCCACTTGTAACCTACTGTACAGCAGAGCGACATCCATTTGCTCACCTATTTATTCCTTACTTTATAAACACTCTGTAGACCTTACACACTATTTTATAATGCAGTAAAAATGTTAAGCCACAAAAACAAATCTAATATGTTATAGGTACTATAAAATGAAGAACAGCTGATTCCG